TGAGGTAAGCAGTATTCTCCCCCTCATACTTCTTCTTTTTTTCTTTTTTTCCCTTCAGGACTGGAGATAGAACTCGGGCCCTTGAGCTTGTGAGGCAGGCACCAGAACCTCTGAGCTAAGTCCCTGGCCCAGTCCACCTCATACTTCTGCCATGATGTGTTGCCTTTACCAGAGACTCAAAGCAAATAGGGCCACTCATGCTGGGCTTGAACTTCCAGAAGTATGAGCCAAAATAAATATTTTTCTCTGTATGAATTAGTTGCCTGAGGCATAAGAGAGTTGCATGGAATTTCCAAATGTGCAGGGAAATAAACCTTTTCTATTAATTTTCTGTTCATTATAGTAGTGGAATGCTAATACACCGATGAAGAAAAATTCAGGCAAGTGCATTTCAACTGTTGACATGCAAAATCAAGGAGAAGCCACTTGAGAGCCTGTTCTTCTCAGTACACGTTGAGCTGCTTTTCAGTCTTCATGTCTCAGGAAGCCTAGTTGTGGTCTATAAAGCTCTTGTTGCATCGTTCTCAGGGTTCTAATAGCCCTGATAGCATAAATGGCTACCCACACACAGAAGACAAAGGGTTTTGAACAATACCAGGCAGCTCAGCCTCCCAAGGGTTCTAGAACTGTGACTAAATTAATTCCTCATGTTAGACTCACCTTTCACCTGCCCTCCTCTATCCTCACAACTGCATTGTACAGAGACAGCAGAGGCTTTATAAGGCACATCTGTCAGTGCTTAGATGATAGTTTTGGGCTGATTCTTCTTTTATTTCCCTCTCCTGTTCCTTAGCTTTTCTATTTTCAGGTTCAAAAAAAAAAAGCTGCTTTTGAGTTCTATTTCCTAGAATTAAGTGATATAAGATTCCAATTGCTATAGAACCATTTCCATTTTGGGACCTCACTGATTCAAAAAGAGCCAGTGCTACATGCCTTGTGCCCAGCTGGGTTCTAAATATTTCACAGCAGGTTGCTTCAGTAGAGGCACATAAAATCCTATAAATGTCAGTGAGAAGATTTGAGAGTTGGCCCATTCATCCTGATGCAAAGTTGTCCCAGTCAGATCTGTTAAGCAGGACACAATTTTCCGAGAGTATGCCCTCAGAATGAGCTAATTTAAGTGACTATTTTGTAGATGCTATTTTATATTTTTATTTGAACATTAGCGATACATGAGTGGCAAAAATGAACTTCTCTCTATGACTTCTAGAAGTTCACTATTTTCAACAGAACAAAGTGAATTGAGAAGAGAGGATTTATCATTTTTCCAGAAATTGTGTCAAGACAGTCTATCCAGGTTGGCTGCTTTGCTCTTTCCTGACCAGATACACAGGTCATTCTAATCTCATAATTTAAAATAAATCCCTTAAACTTTCCCAGATTGTTCTAATGATACTTGAAGTTCAGATAAATGGAGACTTTCAATCATACAGGAGAACAGGCAGGACAGAAAATCAGGTATCCAAGGCCCAAAAGTGAGTCACTCCTAGGAAGTGGAGGCAAAGTAGAACACAGGACTGAAATGCTGTCCTTGATTTAGTACATCCTACCCTTTTCAACCAAGCAACCAAGTAAAGTAATATCTCCTTTGAATACTCAGTCGCCTCATGGGAGCACACTGGCATTGTAAGGAGGACAGCTTGAACTATTTGTGCTAATAGAATTTTTTCACTCCACATCTCACTACAACTATGTTTGTGTGGAACTAACCTTTGAAATGTGACACTCCTTGACAGAAATCTAAGGTGTCATGAAAAGAAAGGCATTCATTTCCAATCATGCATTTTTAAAAAATCTTCCAATTTGAGGTGAGAGCAATTGTCAGGAGCAATTCTACATAATTTGGGGGAAATTTTGATTAGGCCTAGTTCTCCTGCCTATGGTCAGAGTGCACTGGTGTTTACAACTAATGGATCACAACCAGTCACAGATTTCTCTGTTCCTTCTCTACTTCCACTGCATCACTTGACTTAACCAGGAGCTGGGGATTTAGCTCAGTGGTTCCATCACCTGCCTTGCAAGCGCAAGGTCCCATATTCAATGCCCGGTACAAAGAAGGAAATTGCTCCCAACAAGCAATAGTGGAAATTGTCCTCACTTGAGAATAAAATCTAGCCCCAAATCTGCCCCTCATATATTACATGACGACAGGAAAGGCCTAACATTTTCATGGGACTCTGTTTTGATTTAAAATGGACAACAAAAATACCCACTTTACCCAACTTTCAGGCTATTTAATAGTCAAATTGAAGTAATCTGTATAAGCACATGTTATAATTTAAAATACCACCTAAATTCTCACAGCTTCAATTTATTGAGAATCAGCTTAATTTCCCAACATTATGAAAAGAATTTTACTATGTTCATATCACTTAAAGTTCACTTCAACTATGGAGAGTATTACAATATCCCCATTTTCCAGACTAGGAACCAGAGGGAGGTGAAAAAAAATCTATGAAAGTTTTGGAGCTGAATCATCAAACAGAGATAATAAACACTTGCCTATGCAACAAACAAGATAGAGTAATAAATGAGAATTTTATTAGAAAGAACCTGATATGTTCTTAAAGTGTTATAGCAAATATCAAATATTTCACTGTGTAGGCCATTTTTCAAAGTCCTAAACCAAATGTCTTAGTTTCACAACTGATAAAACATAATTCTCCATGTGTCAGCTGACTGAAGTCCCATACTTAAAATTGCTGTACTTCATCCTATCCAACAACAACAATAATAATAATAATAATAATAATAATAATAATAATAATATACATTGTTACTAAGTAACAGTTACCAATGATAATAATATTTTTCAGGAGAAAGCAAGGCCATTAAAGAAAGCTTTATTCTGTATTGAAAACATATAGGGAGCAACCCATAATTTGGAACTAAAGTTACAGAGAGATAGGGTGCACCACAAGGGTCACTGGTTTTCTCATAATTTTGGTTTTAAAATGACCACAAAGTCTTCTCATTTCTGGCAGCAAACTTATGGATCCTCTATTGGCTCAGGGCAAATGGTTAACATTAATTTAGAATCTTTAAAATTCCTAATGGAAACACAACAAACCCTGCAGCAGCAATTTTAGGGCCAATGATAATATGCATGGAGAGAGGGATTGATTTTTCCTATGAGCAAATGAACAGCTTTTAAGATCTGAGGCTCTTCTGATTCCTCTCACCTGCCCCCACCACATCCCCTAAGGTTTAAGTGAGAAGCATTTAAAAAATCAAGTCTATTTGTGTCTAGAGAATTTGGATGATGATAAGAATTCATAGTAACTGCTGGCACCCTCAGCTTCTTTCAAGTGCTCAAAGATAACTTCATAGGGTCATTTTGGCGCCTTAGTCTAAGAAATTCTAAGAGACATTCAGAAATGGCTGAGATGGCTGCATGTGGGGAAACGAGAAGACGAATGAATCCCCCACCACATCCCCTAAGGTTTAAGTGAGAAGCATTTAAAAAATCAAGTCTATTTGTGTCTACACTTGATCTTAGCCAAAAGGCCGAGAAGCGATTATTTGTGTCTAGAGAATTTGGATGATGATAAGAATTCATAGTAACTGCTGGCACCCCCAGCTTCTTTCAAGTGCTCAAAGATAACTTCATAAGGTCATTTTGGCGCCTTAGTGTAAGAAATTCTAAGAGACATTCAGAAATGGCTGAGATGGCTGCATGTGGGAAAACGAGAAGACAAATGAAGGGGTCGATGGAGCTTTACCCCTCAATAACTTGGGGGCCTTGTTCTCACATGTTTAAGCCTAGATACAAGAGACTCTGGATATTAGTGGGTAATCCAACAACAGCATCATTATTTCCGGCTAGCTTTTAAAGAAAATTAATCTAATTGAGGCATCGAAACATAATCACAGCCTTAAAGCCATGTAAGAGTCCTGGGCCACAGGCAGACAAATTTACTTTTAAGATTTCTTTCAAGCGTGATAAATTATTAGCTAAATGACTCTTAGACTTGTGCTTCTTTATTACGGTGTCCATCCCATTGCAAAGGACATGAAGAAGCAGAATACTGTGGGGCATTCAGAACATAGGAGAGAGAGATATGCGTCTGGCGCACGTCAGTGAAATGTGCAATATTCTGAGTTTTTTGTTTTTTTTTTTTTTTGCATCCATCCACTGATAACAATGCAATTGTAAAGAAAAGGCCCTTTGTTAAAGGTTTTGCCTTATCTTTTTGGTACGTTTATGATCAGAGTTTGGAACTCTTTTCCCTAGGAGAAGTGAAAGATGAGAAGAAAAGCTAAGGGGTTATTATAATGGTTTCTTTAAAGAAGTCAACCTTTTCTCCCGTTGCCCTTGATTCAGTGGCCATCTGGCTCTGGGAGCTTGTTGCTGAATGTGCCTTGACTATAAAATTTAAATGGACGGTTAACCCCTCTCTCTCCCACACCAGCATGCTTGCTATTAAAATGACTACCAGGACAAATCTCTGATAATCAAGACATGCTTAATATAAGAGCAAAAGTATTGGCAAAGTCAGCCAAATAAAGAAATTCTACTCTTGGTTTCTTGCTCTCTGTTCCTGTGACTTTTCATGAATCCAAGTCTAGTAAATATCCTTTGAGATTCTCTTTGCCACCTTTGGATAACTGTACCTTTAATCACACTGGAATAAATGGCACCTTAAAGTTCAGATCTCAAGTTGGCTATCCTGTAATTATGCGAATAGCTCCCCATAGAGAGCGTGCCCCTTCCCTGTACCACTTCTCCTTTGCAGCACCCAGGAGCATTGTCTTTACTATGAGCCAGTGAGGCCATACAGGCCAAAGGTTAGTAAGAAATATTCAGTGCATAGTGAGTAAGTCTCCAGAAGCTCCCTACGCTGATAAAGTCCTAGAGAATGATACTCTAATACAAAAAGCATGAATGTGTGCTTTTCTCAGTATGACATGCTGGGGTGATAGTCATGAGAAAATCACCACTGAGGAGTGAGAATGGGAGAGTGAAAGAGAAAATGTGGTACTAAGATTAAAACATGTACCTGTCGGATAATGCTCACTCACTGGCCAGTTGTCCACCTGGAGCGTGGCATTGCCACCATTTCTGGTGAAGCGCACCACATGGTATTTGCCGTCATTGACAGGAGTTCTCTCTTCTTTGATGGAGATGTCAACTGTACCAATATTGAAGACAACGCCGATTTTCCCCTGTTCCTGCAATAAAGAAGCACAAAAGACATAGTTATCACTGACCACAAGATTTTCTCCCTTTAAAGTTGATCTTCCAACTAGCAATAAGCCTGTAGGGGCCCAGAGGGAGCTGTCAGTATGAAGTTAATAATAGTATCCTGTATTTCTCCATGGGCTTTCATCCTGAACATAAAAAGCAATGGTATAAAGCCATCCAAATTGCTCTCACAAGCTGAACTGCATAGGTTACATCATTCAATTGCCCTCAATGGACATCAAGGCTGGAATGACAGAACTACCTAACAACGAGGCACTGACACTGGAAAGATCATTTCTGTGAGACGAATTCAGCCGGTTTCCTGTGAGAGGATAATAAAACACTGGACCCTAAATCATTTTCCTAACTCAGATTTAGGAGGAGATGTGAGCCTGCCTGAACAGTTTTGGGACAATCAAGCCCCAGGGAAAGGTACAGAATGTTGGGAGCCAATGGCAGAGGAATAACACTGTATGGATCAGATGCTGGTAGAACTTTCTGTATACCCAAACCACATACCAAGGGATTTTCAGGAAAGGGTGATGAATCTGAGGAGGCTTTTCAGAATCAGATGGCTGCTACCCTTCCCACTCTTGCACTCACGCTCCTCAGGGTAACCCAAAGCTAAATGCAATATTCTGTGCTATTGCTTATGCGTCAGAGCAGAAAAAAAGGTGTACGGTCTGAAAAGAGTCATGGAATGGGAAATTGCAATGAATTAGAAAAGAGTAACATTATGGCGATGCAAATGGTGCTCCTGGAAATGGAGATAACGGTGGTGATGAGATCATCCACTTCCTAGGAAAGACCTGCAAACACTGAACCATAAATACAATGCTCTTGAAACACTTAATCTTTTCCTTTAAACATTGGTTATGACTCAGAGCTGGAATTAGTATTCACAACAAAACAAAATGAGAGTGACCCTACTAATCAAATATATTTAGTTTCTCTCAAACTCTTGTCATGGTATCACCACACTGCAGAGTATACGAGGGCCAGGAGATAAAGGAGATGTCTTTCTCCCTTTCTCCACTTATCTGACTTATCGTGATAGCTTAGGCCCTCAGTTTTAATTAAATTCAGTAGTAATTCTGACATTCTACAAGACTGAGTCACAGTATGTTCATTAGCCTTTATTATCCTCTATTGGCTTCTTTAAGAAGTAGAAAACATAATGAAGTAGGAGAAAGATATGTTCCCAGATTCCATATAAACTAAGTTCTAGGAAAGATTCCACTGAATCTCATTTTTAATAATTTGTCCATTGATTGATTCATTAATTCTCTCATTCAATAATAAACACAATATTTATTAAATGTCTATTAAATTGAGTACATTAAGACTCCTTGTGGGATGAGCCATGGTTTCAATATCACTTGCTACATTTCAATCATTTTCCCGAAAGACAGGCTTTCCTCATCTTGTCCTTTGTCTGTTACTGAATAAATATATCTCACACACAATTAAAAAAAAATGGACAGGAATCTTTATCTTCCAAAGGAGGACTATAGCTTAATCAACATAGGCTACTGTCAACATTCATGGGTGCCAAGATACAGGGGGCGTAGCTGTTTCCTATGTGCTTTGACTGCTGGTATACAGCACATACTAAGGCCTTCATTTTCTGCATTTTGTTTCTCACAAAAAAGATATTCAAATTCCTTCCCAAACAGTAACTAAATATACTCAGGCTTTCAGAAATCTCTGCTTATTTGCTCTCAGTTTTGTTTTGTTTCATCTTTACATCTCTACTAAACAAAGTACCAAGCATTAAAACATGATGCATGGATAAATGAAACTGATCATGGGTTCTCTCTTATACCCTTCATGCTCACAATTAATTATTAATAATTAATAACTTATGACCCATTTATACTTTCTGATCGATTCTCAAGGAATTCAGAAAGAGCAACGTGAATTTTCTGCTTTCTTTCAAAGAACTGACATTCACTCACACAGTATAGGTGCATGGGTGGGTTTGTGTGTATTCAGACCCTCATACCTAAATGAGCAAGGCTATAATAGCCTGAGTCATATCTGCTTAGCAGAATAAAAGGACTGGATAAGTTAAGAAACCATGAGGGCAGGAGCCATTACTCCTCTGCCCACCCCACAAACGTGGGCTGTTTATTGCACCACTGTTCTTCAACAAGAAACCACTACATAAATCCTAGATGCTTGGAAAGGACTGCTGCTGGTGATTCAAGTCACCTCTGAGTCACTAATTAATCATGGATAGAGAACAACTTTAGGGGGAGAAAGGAGACCTTTGCACCAGTGTTCTGCGCCTTTTCAGTGATAGCAGTGGCAAAGTACAGTTCTGGCTCACTGAGTTGGGTGATCAGCAAGATATATTCTTGGGCAGACTTTTTGCAAGATCCATAATAGATTCAGGGAAGGAAGGATTTAATCTCTGCCAAAATAAATATTTGATCCTTATCCTAGGGACCACACATGTGCCACTGCAATTACAGTTTTGGAGATATCCTCTTAATCCTGTTAGCACACTGCCAAATTCAGTGCAGACCCTTACCCAGATGTTTCGTTTTGCTTCCTGCAATGGTAAATGTGGCTGTGCTAGACCTCAGATGTGGTTGGTCTCTTTATTCACAGTAATAAGATTTCATTACTGCAACCTCCTTGTCATTTGTCATGGGACCACAGGGGCATTATAATCTGTGGCTAACTGCTTTGTTTCAGTTCATTATAAGTCATGGAAGCCTTGTGGCAAATACCCATATACTTGTCCAAGCTTAAATTTATCCTGCTTAGCTGCCATCAAAGTAAACTCCACTGGTTCATGTATTTACAGAAGAGAAGATATGAGGGATGAAAAGCACAAGCTTTGGATTCATCCCTGATTAACCTTGGGTCAATTTCTTAGCCATGTTCTTGGTAATGCAGTTCAAAAAGACACCAGCTGTATGTACCTCAAAGAGCTGTTACACAGATGAATTAATATGACCAGTATGATGCATTTTACTTTAGATTATACCAATGTAAGAGATGAATGAAATCAGGAGCAAGGGCTATCTAATTATTTGACCATAAATAATGATCTGTGATTATTGGAACAGTTAATTGGTTCAATAGGATAGATGTGGATTTAATTATAACACGGTACAAATAACACCTCTGACTCAAAACTGTATGAGCTTGGGCATGTGATTTAACTTTTCCTTTCTATCTACAAAGAGAGAGAGAAGCAATTGCTACCCTTAAGATCATTGTGAGGAGGAACACATAGGTGTGAAGCCCATGCCCCAGGGTTGTGCTTACTTCTGGCCTACAATATATCTGAATCCTCTTTCCTTTGGTGCCATTGGAAGGAGTTGTGTAAGTAAAGACTGATTGGTTTGGAAGGCATTTATTGCAAAAGTAAATGTAAATTTTAGCAAACAGAACATAAAATTTTTGCAAGGTTGATTTCCTGCCACAATTTGGTAGCTGCTGCCTTTCCCCATTGCTTAGTGCCTTTTGTAAGACTCTCTAAGACAAGCAAAGTGAAGCTGCAGAAACAGCATGGCTATAAATTTTAATAACTCCACACCTATCACCACTAAAGTTGCTACCAAGGCAATCGCTTCAATGTATGATTTTCCTTGATATTAAAAACAAAGACAAGTGGTAAATCAAAAGACATTACCAAAAGATCCTCAAGTGCATTCAGGGAAAAAAAGGGTGCAGTAGAGAAAACAGATGTCTTTGAATAGCCAATACAGTAAGTCATTCTTCATCAATAATGACTGTTTATGAGCCCACCTGGCTTCTCAAATTAGTTTGGCTCCAGCTTTCTGATTCTCGATCAGCTACATTACAGTTATCGCTGCTCAGATGAACCAAGATATGCCACCAACCCAGCAGCAAAAATGCACAGGGGAAAGAGAAATCCTCCGGAATAAAGATCTCCTCAAAGGCTATCTCCTCTCTTATTCCGGTGTGCCCCCAGGGAAGGCAGAATGTACCACCTACTATTTCAGAAAATTGTAGGTGTCAGGCATAGAGCTGAGATTTTCAAACGTATGCCTGGGAAAGGTGCAATGGAGGTACTTCTCATTATTGTCACTGCTAGGCTTCTCTCACAATGTCTTCACTCAACACATGAACAAAATAAGGACAGCAAAACAAGAAAGTAATCCAAATGAGACCTCCCATGTTCCCGTCCCTGGGAAGGTCTTCTGCACCCATTTCAAAGTCTGCTTCACACTCTTTACAGTGATACCATTAGCCACACTTTTCTAGTTCTCCCTATTACGGTCTCACAGTGAGACTTTCCGGATTCCCTTGTGATGGATGGGGCCAAGAGACCAATGTTGACTAATAAATTGTATGTCATTTCTGAGCTACATATTTCATAGCTGCTGTGAAACCCATTAGAGTTCTCTCGTTGCTGTAGCAAATGAACCCAGCAAGTTCCTTGGTGGCTGCTCCGTCAGTCTGCATCCATCAGTGAAGATGACAGCACATCAGCCTGCGGTGGGCATGGCAGATGTTAAGATATAAAGCATTGTCACTTTGTGCTGCTAAGTGCTTGGGGCTATTTGTTACTGCAGCAGAACCTAGGCTGCCTGGCTACTCAGTACCTATTTTTGAATAGAATTATCTTCAAATTCTCAGTTACCCATTAGGAAATTCACATGAAAATGATAATCTAGGTCTGTCTGGCTCAAAATTTCATGGATTGGGGCCAGGGATTAAGCTCAGTGGTTCCACTGACTGCCTCACAAGCACAAGGGCCTCAGTTTAATCCCCCGTACCAAAAAAAAAAAAAATAAAAAAAAAAAAAAAAAAAAAAAAAAAAAAAAATTCACAGATTGCCCACTGAATTATGCTCCAGTTACATGTATTAGGTGTTGCAATTTATATACAACTGTGTATTGCTTAATGACAGGATTTGTTCTGAGCAATGTGTCTTGTTTTGTGAACATCATAAATCGTACTTATACTATCTAGTATGACTATGATGTCACTAGGTGTTATACAG